TGGTTAAAATTTTCGTTTTACGAAGGGAATGGGCCAATTCTTGCGTCTAGGGGCCCTCTTGGGACGCATGTTGGAGGCTTCTTGGAGCCTCTTGGGGGCGTCCTTGGACGTCTGGGGTCTCCTGGGGCCTCTTGAGGGGCCTCCTGGGGGCCTCCTGGCGGCCTCTTGGGGCGGAAGGCTCGAGCTTGCGGTTCGTGGTCCCCCTCTGGGCCCCCTCTTGGGCCCGTCTTGGGGCCCTCTTGGGCCATCTTGGGCGCCTCTTGGGCCGTCTTGGGGCCCTCTTGGGCTGTCCTGGGGCCCTCTTGGAAGCTTCTTGGGCCGTCTTGGGGCGGTCTTGGGCGCCTCTTGGGCCGTCCTGTAACGTCGGAAAGCCCAAAAGACAACTTTGTTGAAAATGTACGTTTTACGAAGGGAATGGGCCAATTTTTGCGTCTAGGGGCCCTCTTGGGACGCATGTTGGAGGCTTCTTGGGGCCTCTTGGGGGCGTCCTTGGACGTCTGGGGTCTCCTGGGGCCTCTTGAGGGGCCTCCTGGGGGCCTCCTGGCGGCCTCTTGGGGCGGAAGGCTCGAGCTTGCGGTTCGTGGTCCCCCTCTGGGCCCCCTCTTGGGCCCGTCTTGGGGCCCTCTTGGGCCATCTTGGGCGCCTCTTGGGCCGTCTTGGGGCCCTCTTGGGCTGTCCTGGGGCCCTCTGGGAAACTTCTTGGGCCGTCTTGGGGCGGTCTTGGGCGCCTCTTGGGCCGTCCTGTAACGTCGGAAAGCCCAAAAGGCGACTTTGTTAAAAATGTACGTTTTACGAAGGGAATGGGCCAATTCTTGCGTCTAGGGGCCCTCTTGGGACGCATGTTGGAGGCTTCTTGGAGCCTCTTGGGGGCGTCCTTGGACGTCTGGGGTCTCCTGGGGCCTCTTGAGGGGCCTCCTGGGGGCCTCCTGGCGGCCTCTTGGGGCGGAAGGCTCGAGCTTGCGGTTCGTGGTCCCCCTCTGGGCCCCCTCTTGGGCCCGTCTTGGGGCCCTCTTGGGCCATCTTGGGCGCCTCTTGGGCCGTCTTGGGGCCCTCTTGGGCTGTCCTGGGGCCCTCTTGGAAGCTTCTTGGGCCGTCTTGGGGCGGTCTTGGGCGCCTCTTGGGCCGTCCTGTAACGTCGGAAAGCCCAAAAGACAACTTTGTTGAAAATGTACGTTTTACGAAGGGAATGGGCCAATTTTTGCGTCTAGGGGCCCTCTTGGGACGCATGTTGGAGGCTTCTTGGGGCCTCTTGGGGGCGTCCTTGGACGTCTGGAGGCCATCTTCAGCATCTCGGAGCCCTCTTGGAGGCCTCTTGGAAGTTTCTTGGGCCGTCTTGGGCGCTTCTTGGGCCGTCTTGTCTGACTGGGGAGGCCTCCGGCAAGCCCCGACGAGCCTCCGGGCCCCCCGGGGCGCACATTTGTGGTCGAGGTCCCGGCCCCGGGCCCCCGGACCCGGTGCGCCGTTATATGTATACTACTACTACTAGTACTACTACGACTACTCCTACGACTACTCCTGCTACTACGACTACTACGACTACTACGACTACTACGACTACTACTACTACTACTACTACTACTACTACTACTACTACTACTACTACTACTACTACTACTACTACTACTACGACTACCTACTACTACTACTACTACTACTACTACTACTACTACTACTACTACTACTACTACTACTACTACTACTACTACTACTACTACTACTACTACTACTTACTACTACTACTACTACTACTACTACTACTACTACTACTACTACTACTACTACTACTACTACTACTACTAACTACTACTACTACTACTACTACTACTACTACTACTACTACTACTACTACTACTACTACTACTACTACTACTACTAGGACGACGACGACGACGACGACGACGACGACGACGACGACGACGACGACTACTACTACTACTACTACTACAGCAACCGCAACAGCAACAGCAACAACAACAGCAACAACCACCACCACCACAACGGCGACGACGACAACAACAATCATTTTAAGACTGTTCGTCCTCTTCTGCTCGAGTGTCCAATAACGCCTATTTCCCAAACCCTCGGTGCCCACCCTCCTCGTTTTCGATCGAACCCTTTTTGGGGGGTATACCGTTTTTCCCTGCAGGCCGGGCCCCGGCAAGCGGCGGGGCGGCCGCGGACCGTCGGCCTGGCCAGCGGCAGCGCTGATCGGCGGGGCGGCCGCGGACCATCGACCCGACCCCAAGAGGGACGGACAGGGGACCGACCACGACGACGACGACGACGACGACGACGTCGACGACGGCGGCGACGACGACGACGACGACGACGACGGCGACGACGCCGACGACGAGCGAAAGCGAGAGCGAAAGAGAACGACAGCAGGGCCACAAGGACACGAAGTAGGCCACGAAGGGCAACAGCGGGGACACGAAAGGAATGCGTATGGGACCACGAAGAGCGCGAAGGAGCGGGGGCCACGAAGGGCAGATAATGCGGGGCCACAGAAAGCAACGATGGGGCCACCGAGGGTAGCAACTGGGCCACGTAGGACAGATGCATATGGGGCCACCACGGGCGCGAACGAGCGGGGGCCACGAAGGGCATACATATATGGGGCCACGAAGGGCGGCGAGGGGGCCACGAGGGGATGCAACGGGGCCACGATGGGCAGCGAGGGGGCCACGAAGGGCTGCAACGGGGCTACGAAGGGCTGCGACGGGGCCACGAAGGGCAGCGAGGGGGCCACGAAGGGCTGCAACGGGGCCACGAAACAAAGCGAAGGGGCCACGAAGGACTGGAACGGGGCCACGAAGGGCAGCGAGGAGGCCATGAGGGGCTCCAACGGGTCCACGAAGGGCAGCGAGGGGGCCACGAAGTGCTGCAACGGGACCACGAAACAAAGCGAAGGAGCCACGAAGGGCTGCAACAGGGCCACGAAGGGCAGCGAGATCCCGATTCCTATGAAATCTGTGACGGAGTCCTAAGCGTGAGCGCGACTCCTAGGTGCTTGGGTGTCGGGAGCGCGGCGCTTGAGTAAATTACAAGAAATTCCCGTGCAAAGGCGCTATTTCTCAGTAAATTGTAAGCAAGTGTCCAGCGCGAGCGCGACTCCAGAGCGCCGGGATAATAAATTCTAAGGAAGTCCCAAGCGAGAGCGCGATTCCTGAATAAAACGCGAGGAAGTTTGACCCTCAAGACTTTCCCTGTTCAAAAACAAAGTGCGAGCCCGGGGAAGGGCACTTCAATCGAAAAAACAATGTGCACTGGACGGGGGGATCAACAATAATTATTCTTCAGACATGAGAATTCAATAGGCACAACAACAACGGTTCCGCCTGACACTTCCTCACAATTTAGCCAGGACCCCCGCTCCCTTATGCGACTTCCTCGCTCTCGTTTGGGACTTCCTTACAATTATTCCAGAATCGCTCTCTCGGCGCTTTGGAGTCGCGCTCTCGCTGGAGATCCGCTTGCAATGTACTAGAGAATCGAAATGCCCGCGATTTACTCAAGCGCCGCGCTCCCGACAATCAGGCATCCAGGAGTCGCGCTCACGCTTCGGACTCTATCACAGCTTACTTGGGAATCGGGATATCGCTGCCCTTCGTGGCCCCGTTGCACCCTCTCGTGGCCCGCTGCCCTTCGTGGACCCGTCGCAGCCCTTCGTGACCCCCTCTCTGCCCCTCATGGCCCGTTGCAGCCCCTCGTGACCCCTCGCTGCCCTTCGTGAACCCGTCGCAGCCCTTCGTGGCCCCCTCGCTGCCCTTTGTGGCCCCGTTGCAGCCCTTCGTGGCCCCCACGCCGCCCTTCGTGGCCCCGTTGCAGCCTTCGTGGCCCCTCGCTGCCCTTCGTGGCCCCGTTGCAACACTTCGTGGCCCCGATCGCTGCCCCTCGTGGCCCCGTTGCAGCCATTCGCGTCCCCCTCGCGGCCCCTCGCTGACCTTCGTGACCCCATTGCGCCCCTTCGTGGCCCCCTCGCTGCCCTCGCGGCCCCGTTGCAGCCCTTCGCGGCCCCATCGCTGCCCTTTGTGGCCCCATATATGTACGCCCTTCGTGGCCCCCGCTCGTTCGAGCCCGTCGTGGCCCCGTATGCATGCGCTTCGCGGCCCCGCCGTCGCCCTTCGCGGCCACCTCGCTGCCCTTCGTGACCCCGTTGCTGCCCTCAGCGGCCCCGTCCTTGCTTTTTGCAGCCCAATATACGCATGCCCTTCGTGGCCCCTGCTCGTTCGCGCCCGTCGTGGCCCCATACGCATGCCCATCGTGGCCCCGCTGTCGCCCTCTGTGGCCCCCTCGCTGTCCTACGTGGCCACGTTGCTACCCTCAGTGGCCCCGTCGTTGCCCCCTGTGGGCCCGCATTAGTTATCTGCCCTTCGTGATCCCCGCTCGTTCGCGCCCTTCCTGGCCCCACACGCATGCCCTTCGTGGCCCCGCTGTCGTCCCTTGTGGCCCCCTTCATGCCTTTCGTGGCCCCGCTGTCGCTCTCGCTCTCGCTCTCGTTCTCGCTCTCGCTCTCGCTTTCGCTCGTCGTCGTCGTCGTCGTCGTCGTCGCCGTCGTCGTCGTCAACGTGGTCAGTCCCCTGCCCGCCCCTCGCGGGGTCGGGCTGCCGCCGATTCGCGGTGCCGCTGGTCAGGCCGACGGTCCGCAGCCGCCCCGCCGCTTGCCGGGGCCTGGCCTGCAGGGAAGAAAGAGAGAGAGAGAGAGAGATATATATATATATATATATAGATATCCCAAAAATGGCACGATCGAAGACGAAGAGGGTGGGCACCGAGGGCTTGGGATGCACACGTTGGCTGACACTCGAGAAGAGAAGAGCGAACCGTATGAAAACGATTGCTGTTGCTGTTGCTGTTGCTGTGGTCCTCGCCCGCGACCCCCCCGCAACCCACCCCGAGACCCACCCCGCGACACACCCCGCGACCCACCCCTCGCAAGGCCCCGCACGCTTCTCCGCAACGGCGGCGTGCCGCCTTCTCCCGAGCTCCCTCCCCCGAGCCTCCTCCGGCATGAAGGACAGCGTGCCGGACACCGGCGACGCCTTCGGGAAGTCCGTGGCGATCGGCTCCATGGGCCCGGCGTCCAGCTGGTACGGCGGGCTGCCGTCCTCGGGGATATCTCCTGACCCGGGTCAATCCAGACCCGGGTCCGTCAGGCCTTGCAGAATCCTGCAAGGCCCTGCCAGTTCCTGCACCCAAACCCGGGTCAACGCGAAGGACCCTGCAGGATCCTGCAGGAGCCTGCGCCCAAGCCCGGGTCAGTGCGACCCTGGCCCTGCAGGATCCTGCAAGATCGGGCGCTCTGGCTGACCCCCGTTTCCGGCGGTGGACAAACCTCCCTTTAGTAAACCTCCCTTTAGTGAAAACGGCCTGGGACCGAAACCGACGGACCTGGACCCTCAAAAATGACGGCCGCGACGCCCTCTCGCGAACCGAAAACGGCCAATTCGCTAATCGACGTGTCAGGGTAGGAGGTCTGTCCACCCCCGACGTTTGCGCTGACCCCCGTCTCCAGGCTCTGGCTGACCCCCGTTTGCACCGACCCCCGTCTGAGGCTCCCGACGTCCTCCGAGTGGCGGCAGGTGCCCGGCGTCATCGGGGTGCAGGGGCTCACGGGCAGCGGGTCGATGCGCCGCGCCAGGCCGAAGTTCCGGGGGAGAAAGGTGGCCCACCACCACCGATCGGCGGCAAGCGATGGGAGGGAGAGGGGGAGGAGGAGGGGGAGGAGGAGGAGGAGGAGGAGGAGGAGGAGGAGGAGGAGGAGGGGATGAGGAGAGAGAGAGGAGATCGGAGGAGGAGGAGGGAGGAGAGGAGGAGGAGGAGGAGAGGAGGGGAGGAGGAGGAGAAGGAGGAGGAGAAGGAGGAGGAGGGAGGAGGAGGGAGGAGGGAGGAGTGGAGGAGGAGGAGGAGGAGGAGGAGGAGGAGGAGGAGGAGGAGGAGGAGGAGGAGGAGGAGGAGGAGGAGAAGGAGGAGGGGGAGGAGGAGGAGGAGGAAATGGAGGAGGAGGAGGCGGGGGAGGAGGAGGAGGAGGAAGAGGAGGAGGAGGAGGATCAGGAGGAGGAGGAGGAGGAGGAGGAGGAGGAGGAGGAGCTGAGAAGGAGCAGACCTTCTCAGACGGCGGCGGCCTTCTCAGAAGCCCTCGCGCCGTCTGAGAGGTCTTCTGTGTCTCTGCGGAAGGCTCAGAAGACTTCGCAGAAGGCCCAGGAACTTCCGAGCCTTCGGAGAGAAGGCCCGCCCCTTCTCGTTTCCCCACCGGGCCCACCGCCGAGCACTGGGATCGAACAGATCCGTGAGGAAGGCCCCAAAAAGGTCCCCAAAACGAACATCTGAAAGAGCAATCCCAGGAAGCCCAAAACGACGACGACGACGACGACGACGCCGCTGACGACGACGCCGACGCCGACGCCGACGCCAACGCCGACGACGACGACGACGACGACGACGACGACGACGACGACGACAACGACGACGACGACGATGACGAGAAGCCGAACCGAGAATCCATCGGTGGGACGCCAACCTCTGGGCCGGCCCTCCTCTGATTGGGGCTCGCGGTCTGGGGGTGGCCCACGTCCCTCCTCCGAGAAGTCCGTGAGCTTGGCGTGGTCACCCTTCTCTAGGAGGCAACTACTGGGAGGTCTTCGTCGGCAAAATTAAGGAGGATTAAGCCCCATTGGGGGGCTGTTATGCCGGAGTGGGCCTCGGATTCAGCCGAATTAAGCGGGATCAAGCCGGATTCAGTGGGATTTAGCGGGATTAAGCCGGATTAGCCCGGATGAAGCCGGATTTCGGACCAGGACAAAAACAGAATTTGACCTCCCAGGAGTTGCATCCGGACCTTCTCGTGCGAGGAGACTAGGATGTTCTCGGGCTTCAGGTCCCGGAAGACGATCCTCCTGCCGTGGAGGCTGTCCAGGGCGAGGGCCACGCACGCGGTGTACCTGGCGGTCTTCGCGTCCGGCAGCCCGTGGGCGTAGCCGCTGCTGTCCGCATAGTCGAGGATGCACTTGTTCAGATTCCTCTCGCAGCACTCCTCGACGAGGGAACACTGCATGAGCACAAACTGTCGACGGTCCGCGCGGCTTCCTTGGATCTGCGCTGGGCTCCCCACCCTGGCGCGCCGGAGGCGCCGCCAGGGGCAGCGCCAGAGGCGTCGCCAGGGGATCCAAGAGATCCGCGCGGAGCGCCGAATGCTTATGTTCATGGCGTTTGTTCTTCGAGCTCCATGAGAATGCCATAGAACGTCCTGGTCTGGAAGATGTGGACGATGCGGACGATGAACGCGTGCGAGTACTCCATGGCCTGAGCCTCCCGGACGGCGAACTTGGTCGTCATGTTTCTCTTCTGCAGCTTCATGGCGTAGACCTCTGCCGTCCTGGCGTCCAGCACCTTGATGACCTTCCCGAACGCTCCTGCGCCCAGCATCCCCTGGGTCTTCAGCGAAGACAGCCGGACCTCGTGGTCGCTCTCGTGGATGCTATCCAGGGCCTGGGCCATCTGGTCACCGATACCAGTGGAGAGCATGAAGGACGCGAGCCCATCGGTTTTGTTCTGCTGGTTAGTTTTCTCCGACGCGGGCCCGAACCTGAACCTGGAAACATTACTACCAACCTCCTGTCCGAAGAGCCGCATGGACTCATCTTGGTACTCCATGGAGATGGTCCTCTGCAGGCTCCTGGTCTGCGTCACAAAGTATGTGGCCGCGCCCGCCTTCTGGGCATCCGCGACCATCTGCGCCACCTTAAAGGGCACGCCCTGCTTGAGGACCTGCAGGGGCGTCTCCCCCTCCTTGTTCTTCTGACACGCGGCCTCGAGCCTGGGGTCGTAGCCCTCACTCTCGTCATCCCCGCTTTTGCCCAGCGCGGGCCCAGCCTGGCTGTGGCCCACGCTGTACCCCACGCTGTGCCCAACCCCGGCCGCGCCGCCGAGACCGTTGTCGGCGTTGACGCTCTCGCGGCCGTGGGCGGGCCCGTGCTCGGGCTCGCTGACGGTGCGCGGCTGCACCAGCACCTCTTGGGCGTTCAAAAACCGTATGGTGACAGACCGCGCGGTGACCTCGGCATCCCCAACGACCTCAACACGCGGTCCGTCACCGCACGGTCTTGGGACCCCAGAGGCCCCGGCCTCCCCCTCCTCCTCCTCCTCCTCCTCCTCCTTCTCCTCCTCCTCCTCCTCCTCCTCCTCCTCCTCCTCCTCCACCTCCTCCTCCTCCTCCTCCTCCTCCTACTCCTCCTCCTCCTCCTCCTCCTCCTCCTCCTCCCCCTCCTCCTCCTCCTCCTCCTCCTCCTCCTCCTCCTCCTCCTCCTCCTCCTCCTCCTCCTCCTCCTCCTCCTCCTCCTCCTCCTCCTCCCAGAGCCGTGCGGCGACACGGAATCCTGCATCCCCACCGAGTCACCACACGGTGTGGTCACCGCACCGCCCTGGAGGCCCCCGAGCCTCGATGGCATCGGTGTCGCCGCGCCGGCAGGCGATGTTCGGGTCGGGCGAAAGGGGGGGATAGCAAAGGGGGGTTTGAGAATCAGCTCACGTAGCTGATTTTCCCGGCGCCTCCCGGCGCCGGAGGCGGCTATGTATCGAGGAATGGGCCCCTCGGTGAGGCCGAAACCAGCTGCATGCAGCAGATTTCGAAACCCCCCCTTTCCCAATCCCCCCCTTTCGCCCGACCCGAGATGTGGAGGGGCGTCTCGTCGTTGTCGTTGAGGAGCCGGGCGTCGGCGCGGTGCTCCAGGAGCGCCTGCAGCACCGCGACCTGGCCGTGGGAGGCCGCCACGTGCATCGCGGTCTCGTGGTGCGAGTCGCCCTGCCTGACGTCCGGGTCGCAGCCAGCGCGCAGGATATCCTCCAGCGCCTCGATGTCGCCGCGCTGGGCGGCGACGAAGACGTCGACCGACTCGTTGCCCACCTTCGTGAAGCGCAGGAAGACGAAAGTGGCAAACTGTGCGGTCATGCCTACTATCAGCAGCCTCTTGGCACCATTGCCCTCGAGGGCTCCTCTGTCGTTCGGCTGGAGTGCGTAGTGATAGTACAGAGCAAACGCCAGGCAGAATTGCACATTTCGCAGCACCCATAAGAATCTGGATACCCTCTGCGCCTGTATTGCCAGGCCGTGCTCATCGATGAAACGGCACACGTTGGCTACGAAAATGTCTATGCTCAGCACCAGGATCAGCTTGGAGCCCGTGATGACTCTGAGGGCCACTAGGCCGAACAAGTAGTCCAGCAACAGCAACATCCGCCACCGTGCCTCGAGGCACGAGGTGGAGTGCCCTCAGGCCCTTTCGAGTTCTCCATACGCAGCACTGCAACAAAAATTCCAGGGGCTCACAGCGCCCGGAATGTCTGGGCGCGGCTGGGCGCCACCTGGGCGCTCTCTGGGGGTCTCCTGGGCTCCCCGCGTGATCTTTCCCGGGGCAAGGGGGGCTCCACAACTGGCGAAGGAGGGTCCCAGGAGGTCCCCAAAACTAAAGACGGTCCAAGAGGGCCCCGCGTCGCCCGAAAGTCGCTCCCAAGACGCCCAGGAGAGCCTCCGGACGGCCCATGGGCCCCCAAGACGAGGCCACCCCACGAGGGCTCCGAAAGGCCAAACTCAAGGATTCCCCAGACGCTTTGTAGATTTCAAAGCGTGCTCGCCTTCTCGGGCTTCCGACGCTCCAAGACGGTCCAAGAGGCCCAAAAAGATCTCCCCGAGGCGGCCAAATGACGACCTCCAGGAAGGCCCCCAGGCGGCTCCAAAAAGAGGCTCCCGAGACGGCCCGAGAGGGCCCCCAAAGACGGCCCCAGATGAGACCCCGAGACCTCCGGCAGGGCCCCCGACAAGCCCCACCAGAAGCCCCGCGAGCCCTCCGAGAGGCACGGGTGGCCCGATCCCGCTGGCCGCGCGGGAAGGCAGGAAAGGCCACAGCGAGTCGCCCGCGCCGAAGAGGCCCCCCGAGAGGCCCCCTGCGAGGCTCCCGGGAAGCCCACGGGAAGCCCACGGGACGGCCTCAAGAGGCCTCCTTCTTCTCCTCCTCCTCCTCCTCCTCCTCCTCCTCCTCCTCCTCCTCCTCCTCCTCCTCCTCCTCCTCCTCCTCCTTCGCATCCCTCTCATCCTCAGTTCTCCTTCTCTCCCAGGTGATCCCCCAAGGATCTCCACAACGACTGGGGGAACACATAGTCCAAAAGCCTGGCCAAGATTTGGCCACGTAGACGTTTGCAACAGGCATGGGGCGGCGGTGGTTCGCCATAGGCGTCTTCGATAACGCCCAACCTGGCATCAACCTTGAAGACGAGAGCGACGGCCACAAGCACAAGAGTCCTACTCAATATCTCAGCTAACCTGTAGACGTAGTGGCCCGTGCGGAACTCCAACGGGATGCGAAACGGCAAGCACTGTCGGTCGCAACACAAGTCGCACTGATCGTACTGGCACCTGACGTAGCGAGACGCGTAGTAGTCAAAGTTGGCGACGGCCTGAACAACGTTTACGAGGGTCAGCGCCACGGCGGAACAGATGCAGAACACCTCTAGAGGAACGAACAACTACTCCAGATTTCGTAATAAAAGGGAGGGGGTCTGGACCCTCCAAGACAAGCCATTTCAGACCTCCCCCCTGGGAGAACCCTCCAAAACATCGTCCCCAGACCCCCCCAGGCCCTCCAAGACAGCCTGGAAGAGACCCCCCCCCCGAAATGAGACCCCCCTCCCTTTATTACGAAATCTGGAGTACACAGATGTCGGAGGCCCGCGTGGACTATCGAGGAGCACTGGACCCCCCCCCCTCCCTGGCGCGCCGAGAGCGCCGCAGGAGGCGGCGCCCTCGAGGCGCCGCGAGGGGGGCCCCGGCGACGATCGCAGAGATCCGCGCGGAACTCCGAAAATCTCTGTTTGCCGTTTTTACCTCCCCCTCCTCCTCCTCCTCCTCCTCCTCCTCCTCCTCCTCCTCCCCCTCCTCCTCCTCCTCCTCCTCCTCCTCCGCCTCCTCCTCCTCCTCCTCCTCCTCCTCCTCCTCCTACTCCTCCTCCCACTCCTCCTCCTCTCCTTCCTCCTTCTCCTCCTATCTGCTCCTCCTCCTCCGATCCTCTGGCCCGGTCCCAATACGCGCTGATCGGCGGTTTGTGAGCGACCACCACCCGAGGCACTTCGGACACCAGCATGGCGTGCGTGTCGAAGCGCATGCCCGGGGCACCGGCGTCGAACCCGGCGGCGCTCTGCTCGATCTCGTCGATAAAGCTTTTGTCGCGCTCCTTCGTCAAGCAGCGGATAGTCTAGGAACAAAACCAATGGCAACCACCACCACCACCACCATCATCATCATCATCATCATCATCATCATCATCATCATCATCATCATCATCAATCATCAGCATCATCATCATCATCATCATCATCATCATCCTCATCCTCATCCTCATCCTCATCCTCATCCTCATCCTCATCCTCATCCTCATCCTCATCCTCCTCATCATCATCATCATCATCATCATCATCATCAGTATTATTATCATCAGCACCATCATCATCATCATTGGCATCATCATCATCATCATCATCATCATCGTCATTATCATCAGCAACATCACCATCATCATCATCATCATCATCATCATCATCATCGTCATCGTCATCGTCATCGTAAACAGAATCGCCATGACCATCAGAATCACCATCACCATCATCGTCATCATCAGCATCAGCATCATCATCAGCATCATCATTGTCATCGTCATCGTCATCATCATCATTATCATCATCGTCATACGCTTTCGGAGGTCTGCACGGACTCGTATATCGGATCGGTGCTGGAACCCCTCCCTGGCGCGCTGAGCGCGCCAGGGGCGGCGCTTGAGGCGCCGCCAGGAGGCTCCAGCGCCGATCCGAAAAATCTGCGCGGAGTTCCGCCGGTCCGAAAGGTCATGATTATGTCAATGCTTGTTCCCCGAGATAAGCACGCACGAGCGGATATCCAAAAAACAACCCTCCGAAGATGAGAACTGCGGCCTCGAAGACGGCCACACGACAGCCTCGACGACAGTAGCCCGTCTTCAGCTTCCGACGAAGCTGGACCAGATCGCGGTCTTGCCGCGCGCAGTAGACCTCGATCCCTACGACCAGCATGTGCGAGGGCAACAGGCAAGCCATTGCCACCCAGTTGCCAGACCGGGCCATCACCACCAGGCAAGCCAGGTGGAAGTACTGCGAGACGAAAATGAAGAAGTAGCTGAAGCAGCGGATAACGCTCGGCGTCATGAGCCAGGTGATGAGCACGCGGCTGCCCGAGTCGGGGACCTCCTCCTGGAGGCCCCCCTCCAGCTCCTTGTTCAGGCGCGCGTAGCGCTCCTGGCGGCTGCGCAGCGGATCCTCCGACGCCTGGTATTTGTTGTTTTGGAGCAGCGAAAGGCAAAAGAAAGGGACGACCGCAACACCTGTCGAGTAAGCCATGCACTCCGAGTCCAGCGTGGCAGGAACTAAGCAGTCGCAAGAGTTACAGCGACATCCCTGAAGCAAACAAGCACCGGCGAGAGGAGCGGAGGAGGAGGAGGAGGAGGAGGAGGAGGAGGAGGAGGAGGAGGAGGGGGAGCGGTAGAGGGGGGAGGAGGAGGATGAAGGAGTATTGAGGAGGGGGAGGGGAAGGAGGGAGGATGAGAGGAGGAGGAGGAGGGAGGAGGGAGGGCGTCGGAGGAGGAGGAGGAGGAAAGGAGGACGGCAGGAGGAGGGGAGCGGAAGAAGGGGGAGGAGGAGAGGAGGAGGATGAGGGGCAGGAGGAGGAGGAGGAGTGAGGGAGGAGGAAGGAGGAGGAGGAGGAGGAGAGTGAGGAGAGGAGGATGAGGGAGGAGGGAAGAGGAGGAGGAGAGAGGGAGGAGGAGGAGGATGATGAGGAGGAGGGGGGGGGAGGAGGCGGAGGAAGGAGGAGGGGAGGAAGAGGAGGAGGGAGGAGGAGGAGGAGGAGGAGGAGGGGGAGGTAGGAGTGAAGGAGGAGGAGGGAGGGAGGAGGAGGAGGAGGAGGAGGAGGAGGAGGAGGGAAGGCCAATAGCGGGACACCTGGCGCAGGCGCCCGGCCGCGCGCGCACAGCCTGGGGGGGCGGGCCTCGGCCCAGCGGCCGCCAGCCATGGGATCGCACGAGGTGCGGCGAGCGACACGCGGGCCTGGGGGCGCGGACGAGACGCAGACCGGAGGCAGACGTGCCGACGAGGCCGCCCGATGCGGCTCCGGACCGCCTGGCACACGCGGCCGGCGGCCAGGAGAAAGGCAGTGGTCCGCTGCAGAGGCGCCGCGCTGCCGGCGAGGGCAGCAGCCTCGGATGCGACGGACGACGATCGCCTGCCAGCGAACGGCACTGAGGTGAAGCCCTGCGCTCGGGCACCCAGCGGCCGTAGGCCAAGTTTCCCTCAGCGCCTGGCGGAACGCAAATACATCGTCGTCAAGGTCCCAGAGCGCGACCAGTTCGACAAGCACGATCACTGGTGCGACCAACAGTGCGACCAACAGTACGACCAGAGAGACAACCTGCATGGCGTCGGCGGCTACCACCAGCACTGCCATTACGAGCAGTACCACCACCGGCACGTGGTCGAAGATCGCCACCACGACCACGACGCGCCGCCGCACGGCAGCCTCCGCCTGCCCGCCACCACCCCGGCGCCGGGTCTGGCGGCGGAGGCCACCTGCGAGGCTGAGCTGCGAGGGCCGCAGGCTCAGCTGCGAGGGCCACCGGCAGCGCCGCGCGAGGCACCAGCAGGGCAGCGAGGGCCAGCAGCTGAGCCACAAGTGCCGGCGGCTGGGCTGCGAGGGCCGCTGTCTGAGCCACGGGGGGCCACAGGCGGACCCTCGTGACCCACCAGCAGGGCCACAGGCAGAGCTGCGAGACCCACCAGCTGAGCTGCGAGGGCCACCTGCGGGTCTGCGGGGCCCACGCCTTGGTGCACGAGGGCCACAACCTGAGCCTCGAGGGCAGCAAGCAGAGCTCCGAGGGCCACTGCCTGAGCTACGAGAGCCCCACGCCGAGCTTCGCGGGACACGAGCCGAACCACGGCGGCAACGGGCAGAGCTCCGAGAGCCACAAGCAAGGCTACGATGGCACCTACCAGAACTACGATAGCAACCAGCTGTGCTACGAGGGTCACAAGCTGAGCTACAAGGGCCACAAGCAGACCTACTCGAACCACTGGCACAGCTACCAGGGCAACCTGCAGCGCAACGAGAACCACAAACATGGCTACGAGAGCCACGGGCTGAGCTACTGGGTCCACCAGCTGAGCTACGAGGGCAATCAGCCGAGCTACGACGGCTACAAGACCAACCGGCTGAACTACAAGGGACACCTACTGAGCTAGGAGACCCACCGCCAGAGCTACGAGGGCATCCTGCTGAACTACGACTACGGGGGCAACGAGCTACGAGAGCATCCTGCTGAACTACGGGAGCAACGAGCTGAGCTCAGAGGAGGGCCACAAGCTGAGCTCCAAGGGCCACTGGCAGAGCTACGACAGCCACAAGCTGAGCCATGAAGGCCACCTGCTGATCTACACGAACCATCTGCAGTTCTACGAGGGCCACAGCCTGGGCTCCTGGGGCAGCAGGCAGATCCCCGAGGGCCACCAGCTGAGCCACGAGAGCTTCCAGCGGAGCTACGAGGGTCCCAGGCTGACCTGCGAAGGCCACAGGCAGAGCTCCTGGAGCCACCAGCAGAGCCACCAGCTGTCCCACGAGGGCCACAAGCTGCGCTGCGACGGCCACAAACAGAGCTGCGAGAGCTGCCCGCGGAGCCACGAGGGCCACAGGCTGAGGAACGAGATCCACCGGGAGAACTACGAGGGCCACGGCCCGGGCTGCGAGGGCCACGAGGCGAGCTACGAGGGCCACAAGCAGGGCTGCGAGGACCACCAGCTCAACTGCAACGGGGGCACGTGCTGAGCTGCGGGGGCCACAAACTGGGCCGCTGGGGCCACCAGCTCGCCTGCGAGGGCAGCCGGCTGAGCTGCGGAGTCCACGAGGGCCACCCCGCTGCGCGCCGTGACGCTCGGGATCGTCAGCTCCAGCAGGGGCCGGCAGTCAGGATCACCGGCCTCGAAGCGAACAAGTGCCGCGACGGCCTCGAGGGCACCGTGGGCGCGATGGACGCTACCTGAGGGCGCTGGGCATATCGATCCAGCACGGCTACCCTCAGCGTCGAGGAGGCCAATGCAGAGCGTATCGGCACTTGGCCCAGACGTTTGATTGTCGCGAAATTCCAGAGGGCAGCACTCAAAGTCAGCACACAACACAGGCGAGACATTAATCGAAGACGCATTCCAGCTGCGTTACGACGTGGCCGCGTCGGAGCCTCATCCTGGTGTCCACATGTTGTTCCGAGATGCGTTCGTTAATGAGCGCACGCTCGGCGCACTCTACGGACAGGCTGCCGCGAGAACACGATGGTACCACGGCCACCGCAGGACCAGAGCCACGCAGGGCGAGGCCGCGCGACGCGGCCCGCAGCTCCTGCCTGAGCCGACCCCTCTCGATCATGAAGAGCCCGGGCAGCGGTAGGGGCTGACCAGGGCCCTCCCTCGACCTCGTCTCCCCTCGTGACCCTCCACGATGGGCCGATTCTCCACCACCACCACCATATGTAGGAGGAGGAGGAGGAGGAGGAGGAGGAGGAGACGGAGGAGGAGACGGAGGAGGAGGAGGAGGAGGAGGAGGAGGAGGAGGAGGAGGAGGAGGAGGAGGAGGAGGAGGAGGAACGGAGGAGGAGGAGGGGAGGAGCAGGAAGAGGAGGAGGAGGAGGAGGAGGAGGAAGAGGAGGAGGAGGAGGAGGAAAGAGAGAGGAACGAGCCTGGCTGGACGACGTCGCGCTGCCCCACTCCCTGGACTCCACGATGACGCCGACCTCGGCGGGGCCGTCCGCCAGGAGCCGCTCGCGCAGGGGGCCCGAGGCGACCGAGTCGGCCATGGGCCCAGACGGGCAGGCAGCGCCCCCTGGAGCGAAGGCGAGGGGAGAGTCGAAGCGCCCCGGCGCGCGCGCGCACCTCCACGGCCTCTGGGAGGGGCGGGGGGCGGGGGGGAGCTTCTCGGGCCTGGAGCCAAAACGGCTCCGGAGGGAGACAGAGGGGGGGGGGGGGGGGGGGGGGGGGGGGGGGGGGGTGGGGGGGGGGGGAAAAAGGGAAGAGAAGCATAGAGGAAGACGACCAGGAGGGAGGGAGGGAGGAGGAGGAGGATGAGGAGGGGGAGGGGGAGGTGGAGGAAGAGAGGAGGAGGAGGAGGAGGAGGAGGAGGAGGAGGAGGAGGAGGAGGAAGGAGGAAGAAAGGGGAAGGATCAGCAGCATGAAGGGGAGGACGAGGCATAAGGAGGAGGAGGAGGAGGCACAGCGCACCGCTTGAAGAGGGAGAAGGAGGAGGAGGAGGAGGAGGAGGAGGAGGACCAGTACAAACCCAAGATTCATCAACGAGGTTGCAATAAGCCCTCCCTCCAAGGTCCATCTTCATAGGTCCCTACAAGGACCAATCTTCACTGAAGAGAGTGCCCCGTTGGAAGACGGCCGTTTGAAGATCCCGATGCGCGCCAGAACACCATTCCTCGGACTCCAACGCCGCGAATCAACGTTCCTGTTGCGTCCTGACTACCCTGATTCGTGCCAGAACACCATTCCTGGGACTTCAACTCCGCAAATCAACGTGGCTGTTGCGCCCTGACAGTCCTACGTCGTGCCAAAAAATTACCCTGTGACGTACCCAACCCATTGATATCAATGGAAACGAGGAGTTGGCCGAAACTTGCATGGACAATCAACTTGATGTGTAAGCTACTTGGGACACGCGCCTATGGCATGATGCGCAGGAGAACCATACAAGAACCAGGGGCGACAGCTACAGGGTCGAAGAGGACATGGGGAGTCGGGAACGCAGAGCAGGAGAAAAACGTGCGGGAAGCCGAACCATCAGCACGGCAGCAGCAGATGGAAGGTGACTGCAGGAGGAGAACAAGGACGAAAGCGGCGTCTAATTTGAGTCTGCGGTGGGTACCCACTGTGCTGGGCCCCTCAGCAGCCCTCGAAAGTGGCGACAGTTTCACAGATCGAACCCCCCCAGGGATGGCGAGGTCTAATTCGAGTCTGCGGTGGGTACCCACTGTGCTGGGCCCCTCAGCAGCCCTCGAAAGTGGCGACAGTTTCACAGATCGCAGCCCCCCCAGGGATGGCGAGGTCTAATTTGAGCCTGCGGTGGGTACCCACTGTGCTGGGCCCCTCAGCAGCCCTCGAAAGTGGCGACAGTTTCACAGATCGCAGCCCCCCAGGGATGGCGAGGTCTAATTCGAGTCTGCGGT